CAAAACAAGAAGGCCAACAGCTAGGATGTAGCCCCGCTAGAAACATCTGTGATTGGCGTTCTCCGGTCTGCCACATGCCCGTAAAGTGAAGCAGACTCATAAACTTGCTTTCGTAATCAGCTACGGTCATGTCTCCCTGCGTTAATCTGGACAGCTCAAGTTCCTTCCCGGCCCGTGCCGCGGAAGAGATGTATTGCTCATCAAAGAAGTATACAAAATCCTCCCAAGTGAGAGTCATCCGGTGCTCTGGGGTAAACTGAAGTCGATACCATCCTCCGGCATCACCCTTAAGGCTGTAAGCTGCTAGCCTCTGCCTTTGCACTGAATTTACACCAAGTAAGTCTAGTATGTTACTCACATCCTCCTTCCATTTATGAGCTGCAAGTGAATCTGATGACCCCTGAAACTCTGGTGCCCTCATCTTCTGATACCGCTCTACTAAACGGAGCCAAATCTCCTGCTCTGCTACTTGCCCTACAGCTGCTGGTGGTGTAATCCCTGGTGTGATCTCTGGGGTCTCCTCCGAGATAGGAATGACTGGAATCACCGGTGGTGGTGTAACTGGCTGAACATGATTCGTCATCTGCTCCTTGAGTGCTGTTAACATGGTTGTTATAGGTGCCATGAGGTCTATAAGGTACTGCGGAGCCTGCTGCGGCTCTGGCGGGGCCTGCTGCTGCGCGGTTGGAGCCTGCTGCGGCTCTAGCTCCTCTTGCTCATCTCTCCTTGTACGAGGCCTACCACGTCCGCGTCCTTGTCCCGCCATCTAAAGTTCAGGCAGATGGTTTATAAGACACAGTATTGAGACCTCAGGCGAAAACATATTTAATAATAAATTATTCATGAAAATACTTTTAAATCAAAGTAAGGTAGTCAAAAAAAAAATTTCCAAAATTTTGAGATATACGCATATATCGTCCTCACTCATTCTAAGAAATTCTTATCGGACTCTATACATGAATCCTAGGAAACTCTATTCTACCTCCACGACTCAACACAGGATGATCCTAAGGATACTGGAACTAGAGCTCTGATACCAACTGTGACGCCCCTGTTTTCACACTTGGCTGCAGTCCAAGGTGAACCCAGAGATGTCAAACCTGTCATGCACCTCCACTGTGCAACAACATGTTTCACCAATCACAGTAATATCCTCTAGTGGAAACCAATATAAATGAAGGTACAAAACAGGCAAATAAGGGAAATAAATACTATAGACATGATACGGAAAGATATATCTCATAAATGAAATCATGTCCCAAATAAACTAAACTGGAATACAACTGATATACATCTGGAGTCTAAAATAACATGATATGTCTCAACATGAATCGATTAGAAATCGTACTAAGGCATATTGCCTTAACAATATGAGTACAAACTCAAATGACTAAATGGAAACATAAGATCACTGTGGAGTCCATACTAGTAAAAATACGCGACGGCGACTATGCAAGAACTCCGTCACCCTGCGACTCTCCGATGCTCTGAGCCGCCTGAAATGAGAAATAAAATAAAAGAAAAAGAACAACAACAAGAGCGTCAGAGCGCTACAGCAAGTTCACCTCCATCCGCCCCCAGGGGAAGGGCTACTAGATGATGAAGTGGAGGCTCTATCTATTAAGCATAGTCTACCTAGATCATTTTCCCTGTATCTAATGGAATTAATATTTAGAAATTACAACTTGAGACGTAGTACGTCGAGCGAAATAATCCAAACAAGGAAACCCTCATGTATATACCGTATGTCTCAAATAGTAAATAACTAAATATTAACCCTGAACTAAGCAATCAAAATATAATTGGAAAGTAAAGCATCATAATAGACATTAGCATATGTATCTTGTGTACTCGTATAGCAAAGTATCTCAACAATGAGTAGAAACACTTTTGGCATCCGCCAAATACTCATGTAAATAGTTTATAATATTATCATTCTGAACTTCTTCCAACTCATCGCATCATCACGCGGATCGACAAATAGGTATCATCGCATCATAGTGCGGATCGACAAATAGGTATCATCGCATCATAGTGCGGATCGACAAATATGTATCATCGCATCATAGTGCGGATCGACATATATGTATCATCGCATCACCGTGCGGATCGACAAATAGGTATCATCGCAGTCTCATTTGCGGTGTACTAACTCACAAGTAAATAGATCTCAATTCGTCATAATCCCCGTGGGATACTCAAATGCGTATTTCGTCATATTCATGACTGTAAGTATAACATCAAGCGGCTCAAACTCCGCGATCGCGTCACAAACGGCGCAAACAAACTCCAGAAAATAAAACTAGGCCAAACTGTCCAATAAATGATCAGGATTTCCAACCCCGACTATCTGCTGTATTAACTAATTGTGAATAGTATCCGTACTTAATAATAGCAACAGTACTTTACGACTAGTATCCATACTCATGAATAGTAACAGTATATATGAATAGTACCGTATGCATGAATAGTAACGGTATGTATAAATAGTACCCATACGTATGAATAATGTCAGTACTTATGAATAGTGTCGTACTTATGAACAATAACAGTACGCATGAATAGTACCCCCAGTATGCATGAATAGTAATAGTACTTATGAATAGTGCCGTACGTATGAACAGTACGGTATTTATAAATAGTACCACAGTATGTATGAATAGTACCCATGAATAGTGTCGTACGTATGAACAGTATGGTATTTATGAATAGTACCGTACATATGAATAGTACCCATGAATAATGTCGTGCGTATGAACAGTACGGTATTTATGAATAGTGTCGTACATATGAATAGTAACAATATTTATGAATAGTGTCGTACTTATGAACAGTATGGTATTTATGAATAGTACAGTATGTATGAATAGTACCATACGTATAAAAAAAGTAATAGTATTTCTAGCGGTAGACATGTACGTATAGTTCTAGCTGGCAATATCATGTCTTTAGGAATTTGGTCTTATATTCTATTCATCAATATCAAGTCTTTTCTTCAATATCATGTATATTCATCAATTTTTATCAATATCATGTCTTTTCATCAATATCATGTATATTCATCAATATCATGTCTTTTCATCAATATCATGTATTACTATCAATATCATGTATATTCATCAAGATCAAAATTTACTGGGGATGGGTTTGGAAAGAGATGAACTTGCCTTTATTGATCTCTGAAATTGGACTCCCTATCCGTTCCTTTTCTCCGAATAGCCAAAGGCCCCTCTATCTTTTCCCCTCTTTTCTTCCTCTCAGTCTTTTCCTTCTTCTCCTTCTTTCTCTCTCTCTCCCTCTCTCTCCCCTTCTCTTTCTCTCTCTTCTTTCTCTTTTCTGCGTGCTCAGAAGAGAGGGGGGAGATGCTTTTATAGAAGGGGGGTAGGTGGGGGTAGGTGGAGAGAAGAAAATAAAAGGATAATAATAATAATAATATTTATAAGTTTATATTATTTAAAAATTGAGTTTTAAATCTTCGTTCTCAGAAAGTAATAAAAATTTACCCACAAGACCGTCTCAACATTCTACGATCAATGGTGTAAACCTCATGTCCATATGATCAATATAAAAATTATTCAATCATAATAAAACTCATTTATTATCATTTATAATAATATTTTCAAAATTTTCGGGGTTTTACAATACCCCCACTGATAAATCAGATAAAGCAGTCTGTTATTGGGAGCTCCTCAGAATTAAATCTATGTTCCCTCTCTCTTGGTCTCTTTTTGGTGACTTTAATGTTACTATCTCTTCTCAGAAGAGAAGTGGTAGGTCTGCCTCTCTTTCAGATATTGCCAATTTTCAACTCCTCATCAACTCTCTTCAACTCATCGACCTCCCTCTTAATGGCAAACTCTTCACTTGGTCCAATATGAGAACCCCTCCTACCCTAGCCAGGCTAGACAGGTTCCTGGTTTCATCAGACTTCGAATCGAAATTCCCATCCTTGGTTCGATACTGCCAACCATCATCTTGTTCAGACCATGAATTTCTGATCCTGGATACCACTAGCCCCCAACCTAAGCCTCCTTTCAGGATGGAAACAACTTGGCTGGCCCACCCATACTTTTCTTCCTTTATCTCCTCCTCTTGGCTCAACCTTACATGTAAGGGTGACCCTATTCAACAACTTCACAACAAGCTCAAAATTCTCAAACGCAGGCTCAAAAGGTGGAAAAAGCATACCTATGGATCTATCAATAGAAACAAATCTATAACTCTTCTCGCCATCCAGAACCTAAAAATCCATTGAAGAATCCAAACCCCTGGTTCCCTTAGAAATCTCCCTGAGGACCTCCCTCATTGAATCCCTTTCCTCCCTGGCTAATCAAGAAGAAATCTATTGGAAGCAAAGATCTAGGCTTCAATGGCTTTGTGAAGGAGACTCCAACACTTCTTTCTTCTTCAAAATAGCATCCCACCACAGAAGAAAGAATTTCATTCCCCTCCTTTCTATCGACAACTCTGTTCTCTTCTCGGAGCATGATAAACAATTGGTTTTCTTCCATCACTTTTCCAATCATTTCAAATCTCTATCCTCTTCCTCATTTCAGTTAGACTGGGACCACCTATACCCTCATCCTTGCTCTGACCTCTCCTCTCTGGACAACCCCTTCTTAGTTCAAGAGATCAGGACAGTAGTTTTTAGACTTCGTCCAGACAAAGCTCCAGGGTCAGATGATTTCCCCATCTTTTTTTACCAGACCTTTTGGGATGTCCTCCAGCCAGACATCTTATCCTTTTTCTCTCATATCTTCATTGACCCCTCCAACCTCCACCTTATCAACCTCTCTTATATATCCATCGTCCCCAAAACACTCTCCCCTGATCACCCCTTAGCTTTCAGACCCATCAGTCTCCTCAATGGCTTGCTCAAAATTTTCACTAAGGTCCTAGCCAACAGGTTAAGCCCTTTCCTGTCTTCCCTGGTTCACCCCACCCAATCGGCCTTCCAGAGGGAAAAATCCACCATTGGTTCTATTGTTCTGGGTCATGAGATGATTCACCAGTGCTTCTCCAGGAAAATAGAAGCATGTATCATCAAAATTGATTTCTGCAAAGCTTTTGACTGTGTCAGCTGGGATTTCCTTATCTCCCTCCTCAATGCTAGGGGTTTTGGCAGCAAATGGTTATCATGGATAAAATTCATTATGTTCTCTTCCTCATCATCAATGCTAGTTAATGGCACTCCCACAAACCCTTTCACCTGTCATAGAGGTCTCAAGCAAGGAGATCCTCTGTCTCTCATGCTTTTCCTCCTCGTTGCCGATGTCCTTTGTAGAATGCTTCACAATAGCTGCAACTATGGAGACCTTTTAGAGCTACACCTCAAGTGTATGCTCAATGACATCAAATCATTACAATTCGCAGATGACACTCTTATTTTCTGTAAAGCTACCTCCTCTGACATCTCCAACCTCAAGTCTATCCTTTACCTATTTGAAGAAGTCTCTGGTCTTGCCACCAACTTCTCTAAATCCAACCTCTACTATAGTAGCAAATCTTCTCCTAAGGGGCTACTATTGGCCAACATCCTCAACTGCTCATTTGCATCTCCTCCTTTTAAATATCTCGGTCTCCTTTTGAGAAGAGGCTCTTTATCTAGAGCCGACTGGCAACCTCTTCTAGACTCTCTCAACCATAAACTCTCCCAATGGAAAAGCAAACATCTGCCTATTGGCGGCAGATTGGTGCTTCTTAAATCAGTCCTCTCCTCCGTTTCGTTCTACTACATATCCTTCTTCAAGCTCCCCTCATGGCTCATCAAAAATATTGACAAAATTAGACGTAACTTCCTTTGGGGAGGATCTGCTGATCATAATGCTGGCAATCATCCAGTCAGATGGGGGACTATTTGCTCTCCTAAAGTTTGTGGAGGACTGGGAGTCCTCAACCATCTCTTCAATATTTCCCTCCTCTCCAAATGAATTTGGAAATTCTTCGACAACAACAATCATATTTGAAGGGTTCTCCAATCCTTATATCCATCCAATCTCCATAATCCAACTCTTGTTCATTATTCCAAATTCTAGAGAGATGTTCGTTGGTCACTTTGTTTTGATGATGTTTAACAAATAATTTACTACTAATGTTGTTTGTCTAGTATTTGTGGTTTTCTATTTATTTTAGACAAATAACGCGTTGGAGGATGGATGGAATCGAGCATTCACGATTATATCAAATAGAGGTTGGCGGAATTGTGGAGTGAAGCCTACGCAATTCAAAGTTAAAGATTCAAGTTCAAGCTTCATCCGCAAGTGTACCAAGTCAAGCTTATTGAAGATCAAGATTGCTTGGGTAACTTAGTTTAGCTTTTATATTATGTGTGTTAGTACTTTAAGCTCAATCATATACACACATACACGTTTTGGTTTTGTATAAATAGTTATATATATACATATATGTTTTGATTTGATAGTTTTTAAGTTTTAATATGAAAAAATTGAATATAATTAGAAAACATATTTTTGTTTCATACTTACATGCATATATATGATTTCATCAAGTTCAATTTCATTTAGTTCAATGAAATCATATTTACTTTTGAAATGTTTGCAAAATATGCAATTTTGTGAAAATATTGTTTTCTCAAGTTTTGGACTTAACAATAATCATATACATCTTTTATTAAGTCCACAAAATTATTTTGTAATATTTCAATACATGGTTAAGCTAAAGTGTCAAAACTCATGTGTTTACATTTTCATGTTTTGGACTATTTTGCAGAATGATGATATTTTTCACTTGGGAGGTCCTTTTTAAAAACCAGTTTTTGTAGCATGTGTATTATCATGTCTATAATCATTTTCCAAAGTTTTATATTTTTTGGAATTTATTTGATATTTTTAAACAGGGTTTCAAAATCATCAAACTGTTTCTAAACCTGCTTTTCTCATATGTCAGTTTGCGGTTGACCGCCACGGTTGTCCGTCCCTGAGTCTAAAGACTTAGTATGTTTCTTGATGGCTCGCAGTCGATCATGGCGGTCGACCGAAAGTAGTCCAGAGAGTTTCACGGTCTATCGCCACGGTCAACCGTCTGTTTTCTAGAGCTCAGTTTTGCCTTTTTGTTGCTCGCGGTCGACCGTCGCACCGTCTGTTTTCCAGAGCTCAATTTTGCCTTTTTGTTGCTCGCGGTCGACCGTCGCGGTCGACCGTCGAACTGGCCGTTAGGTTCCAACGACTAGTTTCTAAGCTATTTTCTCTTGGGTTTTTAGGTCATTTTGATTGGGCTTTTGCTAAAGTTTTGAGTGGGTATAAATACCCCCATTGATCTCATCTTTCAATACAACCCAAGAAGTTTTTAAACAAGTGTTTAACAAGGGTTTAAGTTTGTTTTAAGTTTGGTTTTAAGTTTGTTTAAGGGTTTGGTTTGTAAAGAATTCCACAAGAGGAAGTGGAGATCAATTCATTGATATTTGAGCTTCAATCTCTCTCTCTCTCTCTCTCTCTCTCTCTCTCTCTCTCTCTCTTGTCATTTATTAGAGAAGTTTTCTAAACTCTATCTAGCTTTACATTTTGTATTGTTTGATTATCATTCTATTAAGCTAGTATTTGTGTTTGAGTTTAGTTTGATTTGATTTGATTTCACTCATTGTTCACACACAACCTATTGAGCTTATTGTATTTTCATACATAGTATATTTGGGTTGGTGAGAGTTGTAACAATTGAGTGTGAGCTTTAATTGAGTTCTCATCCATATTAGAGAACAATCATTTATTGTAATTATGCTTATTATGAGGATCACTTTATAATATACTTGTACACCGAGAGAAGTGTGTGGCGAGAGTCGGGGATCGTCCTAAGAGGAGTGGCGTCGGTTGACGAACCTAGAGCTTTAATTGAGTTCTCGCCTTGTATTAGAGAACAAATCATTTGTTGTTATTGTGAGGTGTGGAGTATAGACGTTGATCGGTGAACGTTGAAAACCGACATTGTGAGTGTTTGTGAATGTTGATCGGTGAGCATTGAAAACCGATATTGTGAGGTGTAAACGTTATTCGGGTGAGTGTATAAAACCCGGTTGTGATAGTGGATTTCTCCCCGGGAGTAGGGAGCGGAGACGTAGGACGGAAGGTCCAAACTCCGTGATCATTTGCTTGTGTTTGAGTTTGCTTTGGCATTTCATTTGTGCTTAGTGTTCATTACATTCTTGTCGCCATTGTCAATTGCCCTATCATATTTGTAGATTGTTTATTTCACCCTTGTGTTAGTTTATATATTCTTGTATATATTTCACTATATATCTCATTGCTAGGATATTGCTCTTTGTTCATATTGCTTATTCTTGCTTGTAACTAGGGGTGGAAATGAACCAAATAATTAACAAATAGTTCGATAATTGTTCGAAAAAGTATTCGGTCATAATCGATTCGGTAGTTCATTTACCACTAAACAAATATTTTTTAGTATTCGAGTTTACTAACGAATAGAATTTAACCAGATGTATATTCGATTTGTTTATCTATTAAATATTCGTTTAAAATTTGATCACATCATATTACTTGTATTATTGCACATATGATGTCATATTTTTAACCTACATATCATTTCTACTTGAGCTTTATATCCTGCTTTTAAGACTTAAATAATCTTAAATCTGTTTTCTAATTAAAATTTTGATTTAAATATATATACATCATATATTATAAAGGAATAAAATTTATTTATGAATTCAAATACTATTTGAAAATCAAATTCTTTAGCGGAATAAATATACTTTGATATTCGATAAGTATTCGTGAATATTCATGAATATTTATCAAATACCAAGTATTCGAGTTCGAATTCGAAAAACTAGATATATGAATTTTAGAGTCCACATTCGAATTCGATAATTTTAAACAAATACAAATACGAACATCTTAGTATTCGATTCGATTCGATCGTTTATTACCCCTACTTGTAACATATTGTATATCTATCTTGCAAGAATAATTTATTAATTAGTTTTAATTGGCATAAAATCGGATTAGATTAGCATAAGACCCTAATCACCCCGCTCTAGGGTCTAACAATTGGTATTAGAGTTTTGTGCTCTTTGATTTAAGGTCTAATCATCTTAAGTTAAAGATTCAAGTTATCTTATTTTTGTGCTAATCTAGTTTTGTGATTTTATTGTTAACTTGCTTTCTCATATATATACATTATGGATATGCACGGTGCACCTAGTTTAGGTTATGCCATCAATATTGCTCCTAGATTAGATATTTTCCCTATACCCAATGGTGTATTAGATTTAAACTTTTTGTTCAATCTAGACACTTTGATTTATAGGAAATTATAGATAATACTTATATTGTGCCCACTTCGGAGAAATCCAAGTGGAATAAAAATGATCATCAAATGTTTACAATGAACAAGCTCTTGTTAGAATTTTTACATAATGCGTTCGATTCATCTTTTTCTAACAAGCTTGATTCTTTTGATAGTGCTTACACATTGTGGAAACTTATAGAAGCACATCAAGAGAATTTGGAGGCGATTCGACAAGCTTTGGAGGATTCCGCTTCTAGTTCATGTGGAGCTTCATTTTCATGCACACGGCCACTAGGCGATAGCCCTAGTGAGGTTTGCGAGTTCGAATCCATCAATGATTTATCTAGTGATGAACTTGCTTGTGCTAGTAAAAAATTATTGCATGCCTATAACAAATTGCACAAAGATTTTATTGAATTACAAAGCAAGCATGTTGCATTAAAATCTGATCATGAGTTATTAGCTTCTAAGTTTGAAACTATTCATGATTCTTTAATCTCAAATGTTGCTAGTTTAACTCATGAAAAAGATAATGCCATATTAGAAGTAGAAAACATGAAAAATAAAGTTGCTTCTTTTACAAATAACTATATATATTCTACTTCTAATAAAAATGCATATGTGCCTAATGATGATTTAAATCTTGTGAATAAACATATTTCATCTTTAGATTCAACTTTAAAAATATGCATTAATAATCATAATAAGCTTATGAATATGTGTGCCAAGTCTAAGTCAAAATCATCCACTCATTATACACATATATATAGCAAAGTTTACAAGTACTCTATTTGCGGCCGTAAAGGTCATTTAGCTAAATTTTGCTATGATGCACACAAATATAAGAATTCTAATGCTCCTTGTGCATCTCATGTAGCTTCTTCATCTTGTACACTTACACATTCACATGCTCACTCTCACAAAGTTCATCATAAGCATGCTAGTGTGTTCAAGTGTGATCATTGTGATCGTTTTGGTCATTTGGCCGAATATTGTTTTCATTTAAAAAAGAAATCTTATTTGCCAAATGCTTCTAGTAGACTACATGTTTTTAAATGTGAAGTTTGTGGTAGGTTTGGATAGCTTGCAAACTTTTGTTATGATATGCAAAAAGCTTCTAAATTACAATATGTTCCAAATAGACCATTGTTTAAGAATGTTTCTCATTTGCAAATAATTTTAAAAGATAATCTTTATTTGTAAATGATTCCCATGCACGAGCTAATGGTTCACAAAAACAAATGGATCTCTTTCATTGTACATATTGCAGTCGGAAGGGTAATTTGAGTGATTATTGCTTTGACCGTGTTAGTGCACCACATGTGCCCAAACAGGTTCATAACCCTAGGGCTTTGAGCTTAAATGATATGGGTCATGTTCCTAAACCTTTTGGTACGAAGAATACTTAGGTACCAAAACAAATTTGATTTTAAACCAAGAATTTTAGTGTTTTTATTTTTCTTTTTTTCTTGGTTTTGAAAAACTATACTTTAAACTTTTGAACATGAAAATAATTTTTTTCATTGATCAAATTCTTTTGTTTTCATGATTATTGATTTTGTTTTGATGAGAGGTTTGTGTTTATATAACCCTCCGGGTGTATTGGGTGTTTATTCCCAAATCATGTTTACCAGATGCTAGAATGATATATGGGTTGGAACAAGCTTAA